GTTCAAAGCTGATCCTGTACTCTACATTGATCTAACTTTAATTTAATCTACTTTTATTTATTCAAGTACAGCTACTTTGTTATGCATAGAGTCCAAGGCACAAGCAATAGGTTTCCTGACAAACGGCACAATTCCGACAATAATTCAACATATGATAATTATATAGATAAAAGACTCTGACGTGTAATTGCAATGGATGATATGTTATCCATGGCAGCAGAATTTTAGCAATAAAACATTCCCTTTTCGGTATAAAATCAATCCGTGTCTGGAGAAGGAAGGGAAGAGAGCAATGACATCGAACTTGGCTTAACAACGATGTCTTCTTGAATAAATAAGTTTTAAAAAGTGGAACGTAACAGAACAGGTGCTATTCTTAATAGTTCAGATAAAACTAATTAAATATAGTTCACCCTCAACAGCAACGGCAACGTAACTCCTATCTCATCATGAAGAAAGGTGTTGTTTTCGTTGGTGAGTGAGATGTCGTGCTTATTCAGTTCACAAGTTCCTTTGCCGTCCTTCTTGGATGACTCTTGTAGTTTGTATAAGTACACCAAGCGTTTCTCATACATTGTAATTTGCTGTATTTTTGTTCACACTAACCTCGACTTGGCGCCATTGTTTGCTGGAATGCAGGAAAGGTCTATTAAGGTGATTCCTTAGTATTGCATTGCGCATCCCTACAGCGCACGATTTTCGTGTCATTAGCGCGCACATGAGCGCGTGCACGTGCAAAACGTAAGAGATTTCCCTCAAACTAAGCTCGATAGCGAAATAGAAGCTCCTTTTCTCTCAAAAGAGCGCGGTGACCCCCGATTTTTTTTAGGTTTTTGCTAAGAACAGTCTAAAAAAGAACATATTTAAAGAAGAAAAAACGTTTGACAGTAGAACGTGATTTTTTTTTTTTATGGAAAATAGTTCCGTACTGAGTGTATTTTGGTCAAGGCGAGGACTTCAAGCTAACCACGGAACTGTCCGAAAAAGTGCAATATTCCCACAACAAGGCAATCAAAAACGGCTTAAATGAAGCAATACCGCTTATGTGAGTAAAAGAAGCTTTACTTTCAAGATAAAATTTTGTGTCTTTCAAGTAACCAAGACTTAATTCTGTATGAAG